TAATTTTTTTTTATTATTTGTTATTTTTTTATTATTTGTTTATTTATTTATTTCATTTTATTTATTTATTTTTTTTATATATTTTTTATTATTTGCTTATTTATTTATTTTATTTTCTCATTATGTGAATATTTTTTATTATTTGCTTATTTATTTATTTTAATTTTCTCATTTGTTTTATTATGTGATTATTTATTTTTAATTTATTTTATTTATTTGTTTGTTTTAATATGTTTATTATTATTTATTTATTTTTAAAGTTGGTATATTATTATTTTTTTTTTTTTTTTAATTTATGTAGTAAAACAAAACAAATTTAAAATTAATTTATTTAAATTTTAAAACAATCCTTTTCTTAACTATTTAAGCTCTTCAACTATTTTCTATTTTTTTTTTTTATTTATTTATTTTTTATTAATATAATAATTATAGCAATTCAGATAGAGTAAGAGATTGTTCCCTATATAACATATATGTACATATTATACATCTATAGTAAATTCTTATATATTAAGTCCCATCATTCAGAAGCAATAAACTTTAATTTTAATTCAATTACAGATCGCTACGCATTTCCACGCCACATTCCGATTCGGCGTGCAGCAGTTCCGCCGAGTCCTCGGACTGCGAGAGCACCTCACACCATCATCATCATCACCATCATAATTTCAATGAGGCGCCCGTTGAGATAGTGCCCGGCCTATTTCTGGGCAATTCCACGCACAGCAGCGACTTGAATGCTTTGCAAAAGTACAACATTAAGGTATGCCTAAACTATAGTAATATATTTCATATTTATCTAATCTGTTCCATTTTTACCTATTTTTTAGTACGTGTTGAATGTGACACCCGATTTGCCAAACGAATTTGAGAAATTGGGCATTATCAAATATCTGCAAATACCCATTACCGATCATTATTCGCAGGATCTGGCGATGCATTTTCCAGCTGCCATACACTTTATAGGTGCGTACATGGAATTCATATCGTTTTCTTAACAATTCTCAACTGGTTCACTCTCCTCTCTCTCACATTGCAGAGGAAGCGCGCTCTGCTAATTCGGCGGTGCTGGTCCACTGCCTGGCAGGTGTCTCGCGCTCCGTAACGGTGACGTTGGCCTATTTGATGCACACACGGGCGCTCAGTCTGAACGATGCGTTCATGCTGGTGCGTGCTCGCAAAGCGGATGTCTCGCCCAATTTCCATTTCATGCAGCAGCTGCAATCCTTTGAGAGCCAACTGCGTCTGAGTCCCTGCGATGGCCAGGCGATGGATGAGAGCGGCAGCGTTAATATGATTGGACCCACAGCTGGCTGCTCCTCGGCCACGGTGCTCTCGGGCAATCCGGGCCTGGTGGCGCGCTGCGGCCGTGGCTCGAAATTCTCATGCAATTGCATCGCTCCCGACTGCAAGTGCATGCAAACGGGCGGGTTTATGGCCGCGCATCTGGCCAAGGCAACTGGCGTCTCGCCCGATTCGGGTATTGAGTTTGATCGCTGGACGCCATCGTCGGACACGGGTCTTAAATGAGATCAGTGTGCGGGAAAGAGTTTTGTGCTGCCCCCCAGTCAGAGTCAGGAATCGACAGCAGCAGCAGCAGCAGCAGTGGCAGCAATGGCAGCAGTCGCAGGAGCAACCAGTTCGCCGCCACCGATTGGGCTGGCATGCGGTAATGCTGACAACATGTCACCAGCCAGCACCACCAGCTCATCCACTTCAACAACGACCACGGCCGAGGCTGTCTCAGTGGTGGAGCTGGTGCCAGCCAATGTGGTGCCAGTCGAGGCGACAAGTGAGGAGCCGTAATAGCTGGGAGCTAAGCAGAAGACAGAACTTCTTTTCCTACTTTGGTTGTCGAATACACACACATTGACAAAACCACACACACACACATACATATATAAATAATATAATATAATATAATTGTAATAATAAAATATAATTTCTAGTTAATATTGTAAGTCTAACAAACAAAACACATGAAAAAATAAAAGAAATAGATATGAAAAAAAAAAAATTAAAATTAAAATTATTGAAATTTATTCACACAAAAAAAAAAAAGCTAAAAGGAAAATATATATAAAATATATTTATATATAATGTATACATACTTATATAAATGAACCTTATGTACATGTTTGTATTTAATTCGTAAGCCAAGTCAAAACAAGTTGAAAGTTAAAACAAAAATAAACAATTAATATTAATAAAATATAATATACAAAAACACGAAACGCGTTATTTATAAAGTTAAATTAAAAAAAAAATAAAAAAAATGATAAATCTGTTTTTATGCGCATGGCTTTTTTAATTTTACTAAAAAAAAAAACGTTTATAAATTTTAAATGTATATTTGTTATATACACGTAAATAAGAATTCAATTTATAAAAAATATATTCTATGATACAAACTATTGAAAGCCAAGTCATCTAAATGTAAAAAATAATAAAACAGATTTTCAACGAAGAAAAATTCCAAGCAAAATATTAAACACTAAAATGAGAAATAAACTACAAGAAATGAATTATGTTTATTATTTTTTATTTCTATTTCAACCAAGAAGACAAAAAACAAAGTGAATGAAATACGAAACACATTAGGGTTTGGCTATTTTTCTAAGGCTTTAGAAGCGCCGGGAAAAGGAGTTGAAAAGTAAATCCAAAAAGCATGAAGAGACACGCCCACTAAAGGGGATGCTGCTCTTTTTAATTTTTGGCATAGTTTTTAAGAGTTTTTACCAAATGAAAAACGAAAAAAAAAAAATGATAAAAGAATTTGAAAATGATATTCTAAACATGCTGAAATATGCAAACTTTTGAAAGTACTCCAAAGCGAGAAGGCTTGAAGTAACATATGGGTTCTTATGTACATGAACATATATGCATCTATATATATATACTATAGCTATATATGTATGCAGTCAGGCAAAGTTGGTACAAAAAATGATCAGGTGTCGTCAACACGAAAAACGGTTTACAAAAATATATAAACTACATAATAGAAATATATATATATATGCTTATATATATATATATATATGAACAATAAATATACAATATATATAAATCACAGAAACAAAGAAAAACCAGAACAAAAAATTTGAGAAAAAAAAGGCTGTGCGCAAAATAAAAAAAAAATATATATATATATAAAATATAACAAGACACAAAACAAGCTAAAATGGTTTTTTAAAGGAAATAAAAATCCATTAAATTAAGTGAAAAAAATATATATATGAAAATGAAATGGGATATGTACAAGAGAGATAGATTCAAGTTTTGAGTACTTTTCGAAAATGCTTAAACAAAAGGCATATATAATGTTTGAACAGAATATCTTAGAGAACAGTGCAGGAGAAAAAGAGTAAGGGTAAGTTAAAGGGTATACAACAAATAGAAGAGATTTACACAGAAGCTAGAGAGCGAATCTGCCGAAAAATAAAAACTATGTTAAGATTGCGACAGCATACAGTCTTTAACATTCTGTTAAGCATTAAACAGAACTCCTGAGCACAATGCAACGCTGTTAACTGTCTGTTATGTTAGAGAGCTGTTAAGCTTCTGATGGACAAGGCGTATACGCAACATTGTGAAAACAAATTAACATAATTTGCAAACATTTCGAACCTATATCAATTTAATTGCAACGATGATTACTCGATTATACTAATGGCAGATTCCCAGAAAAGTTGTGGACAAAAAACAGTCTGAAATTTAAATGAATTTTTAGCGCAACGTTTGTAAAGGCAGCTAAAACGGAAAGAGTTCCTCCATTGAAAGAGTGCACACAATTGGACGTATACCGAAACCATATATACATACATATATAGAGATTGGGTCGTAACTTTTCCACCTGGTTGGACAAGCCCCATTAAATATATATGAAAACCACATAAATCCAATACATATACCAATTGAATAATGAAATTTGCAATAATTTTTATGCGCAATCCAAGCGATTTAATTGTTGAATGCCTCAGTCAGTAAATAAACTTTTAAAAAAATAATGAAATGAAAAGAAAATCGAAAAATAATTTTAAAAATTCAATTTTTAAATGTTCCACGAATGTATATTTGTGTGTATCGAGAATTTTGCAAAAGTTATTAATTATTAATACATATATAATTAAATGTTTGCTAATTCAATGGCACTCCACAAGAAAAAAATAAATATTAAAAAAAAAAATTGTACATGGAAAAATATGGAAAACGAAATTGGCTGCCAGGCAGCAGAATTGTTATTGAACGGCCCTCGCAGCCGAGGCGAGGGCGTAAATTAGTTTTTACATTTAAGTGAAACACACAATTTTCCTTATTGTACATCTGGGTGTTGAATTTTTTCCATCAATGTTTAGAATTTTGCGACAGTGCCAACATTTTTAACAAATAACTAAAACAAGAAATTAAAAAAATAAATAAATAAAAAATCAATTCAAATTGTACCTTAAAAAATGTCCAAAATTAAAAACTAAAAACAAAACAAAAACAAAAAAAAAAAAAAGCAAAAAATGAAAACATAAAAAGAATATTTAAAAACGCAAAGATAAATGCGAAAATTTGTTGTAGTACAAGAGCACAAAACATTGTTTAAATGCCCGATAAATAGTCGTACAATAAATACGAGAGTCTCCACGTAATTAACCAAGATTTAAAGTGAACAAATAATCTAACTAGTTGTGTTTTGCACATTTTGTAAATTTTACAACACAATCCAATGATGAAAATTCCGCAAACATTTGCTAATTACAATATATATATGGGTATATATGTATATATATACTTATACATATATACAAGATACAACAATATACCTAATAAAACCGTTTATAAGCCCGCAACTCGTTTGTTTATCTAATATTGATGTCACTTTATTTTTTTGTTTTTTCTGGGTTATTTCAAGTGTTGCCCTATTGACTTAGTTTTAGCACGCAATTAACAAATTATAATTAGTAGCTGATGAGCTGATGCTTGAAAAACTTAAAGTGTGCCGAACCAACCTGTTGCTGACTGAGTCTATTTATTTAGCTTAGTTTACAATATTCTTGAGAATAGTTTAATATTTCATCTATAAAATTATCTTTCACTTTAGCTTACAGTTTCACATAAATTACAAAACATATTGACTATGTTAATAAAAAACTACACACTTAAAAAGTTTACATAAAACACAAATTATGATATCATTCAGTTTGAGCCTTGACTACTCCGATGTGACCAGGAACGAGGAACAATTACGTTGCGCGTATCTATAAATGCCTATGCAACAACAACAACAACAATCAACACGGTTATTGTCTAAGTGTCTAGCAGACAATATCAGGCTTCAGCTTGGGGCGCCTTACAGACCCTTGTTGAAGTAGACGCGATCGGGCACATTGCCACCAGTGCGCTTGACCATATCCTTGTAGAGTTCCGGCTCGAAGGTGCTCATTGTTTTGGTATCCAAGCTGCATTGCTGCGGGAACAGGGCACAGGCCGTGGGCACCATGAAGCAGAGGCTGCAAATAGCAAATAACTGATTAGTTTAAGTCACTATATTGAGTTAGCCAAATAAAGTTACTCACAAGCAGCCCACCATGAGCGTTTGGAACGGCGCATTGATCCACTTGATGCGTTTGTACGCTGGCAGTTTCTCCAGTCGCTCCATGACAACGGGCAGTAGCAGCATACCCGGGGCTGCCATTGTGATACGCGAGATGATCACCTCGCTGATGCCTTTGATGGCAGCCAAGCGACTCTGGCCGATAATCTCACCGTCGGCATTCTTGACATCGATGCCATTGATAATCTCGTTCTGACGCATAAAGGGAATGTTGACACAATTCGCTGCTGCCACAGCCGCAAACGGAACATAGCGTTGCAGCAATGGCGACGCCCTCTTCGCCCAGTAGTTCTTGCAGCCAATTGCGGCCACTAGAGCTGCACTCGTGGCCGTCGCAAAGGACAGACCCAGTTGCGTGACACTGGTCGGTGAATTGGCATTGCGATTCGTATAGTTGACGATCGCATTGAAGGACTGATTGAGAAACTGCCAGAGCACCACTGCGGGCACGGTGCGGTAGAAGGCCAACATGCCGCCCGTAATCAACATGCCCCCAGGCACCTAACAAACAAAGAAACGATGCAATTCATTATTTGGCAACTGTGCGAGTGACGACAGCAGATCTATATATATATATATATACGTATATACATATATATGTAAATGTGCCTGCAGCTGACTGTCACGCGACTTGCCTGAAAACTCATGCGACCGGCAAAGTTCTGCAGCTCGCCAGAATCCGGATGAAATGCCGAGCTATATAGCTTCAAATTGTATTTCACTTCATCGGGCGTCAGCTTGGGCGTCTGTTCGCCAGCCCGATAGTTCTCCACGATTTGCTTGGCCTGCAGCAAACGGTCGCTGGAGACCAGCACCGTGCGCGGATCCGTCATCCAGGCATAGTACTGAAAGCGATCCTTGAACGTGTTCAAATCAAACAGATTTTCCACATTGACCAGAGCTGAAAATATGAATAAATTATGATGATGATAATGATGATATGAATTAATAATGAATTGAAATATAGCATATTTCTCCTTCAACCACTCACATTGGGCAGCCATGTTTTTGGAATTTAAACTGTGGTCCGTTATGTGCGATTACGTAAAGCTCGCTGTCGGCGTCGCTGCTTTCAAGTGTCTTTGATTTATTGAGCCCCAATTTGTGCTTCGAATCCTATTCGCACGCCACTTAGTTACAATTACACTTGATTTATGTGTACTTAGGGCCGAGTCTAGAGCGACTCTCTGATAAAATGCAAGCAGGTGTTTCGTTCTCAGCTGAAATGCTGCTGTGCTATTCGGTTCAATGCTGCACTTTTTTTGCTTTTGCTGGCGCAGTTCCAATAAAATTTCAGAGGTGTTGTTGTAGAGACGCCCCGCCGGCTGCTACCGTGTGTTAGCACATCTGTTGGTGATTTAACAATTGGGTAATTGGCAAAAGCGCTTACATATATGTATGTATTTAAATTAAATTAAAAGTCACACCTACTCTCACAGATACACACAAAGTAATCAGTCTTAATACATTCTATTTATTCGTAAATCGCATGTTTGTCCACTCTTATATTTATTTGTTTTTTTTTTCTTTTATCCAACGATTAGCCGATTAGGCGGATAACTATCGATATAAGACAATGTACGATAGAGTAAAGTGCGCAAAATCACAATTTAAATAATAACGGTCTAAGACCTGACTTACATGCTGACTAATGTGGTATTCATTTAACTAGTCACATGAATAATGTATTGCTAGATTTTGTGCATTTCATGTGTATATAATAATGTGTTGTTCACGTGTTGTCCTTTATTACCGCAACGCATACATATACACCAAATGATATCATTAAATACTAAGTGCAAATTAATCAGTTTAGTTTCTTTCGAGTTTAACTAATACTTACAGCTACAACTGTTTTTTATAGCTTGAAGTGCAATTGCTTTGCCTTCAGATAACGAGCTTCAGGTAAATTACACTGCAGCAGGTAAACATTCATACTATGATATTATCGATACATTGCTAACTGATTACTCATCGATAACGTATACATTTGTCATTCACCAGTGGCGTACGCACGAATTTGCGCAGCCCTGGCTCATTCGCGATTCATTTGTTGTTGTTGCCGTTCTTTTCACTTTCGTTGCGCATTTTGTACACAAATTTCGCGATTTTTAACTAATTTACATTAATTAGGAAGGCGCTAGGGCGCAATGTAGGATTGTATAAGATTAAAGTGCAACCGTAGCGACAATGAAGTCTTGTTGCAGCGCCAGCAGCAATAGCAAAAGATAATAATAGAAAGGCCGCAACGGCTCATCGTAGCGGGAGGGAATTGGCCGCAAAAACCGGAAAACTAAAACTGGTCCGTAGCCGAGGACACGTCGAGGTTCATTGCACTGTGACGAGATGCGTCTGCTACAACTGTTATCGCTTTGGCTGCTCTGTAGCCATGCTACCGGTGCCAACATTCTGGCGGTGCTGCCCAGCGTCTGGAGATCGCATTATCTCTTTGGACGTCGCCTGCTGCAGCAACTGGTGGCCGGTCCACAGAATCATTCGGTGACGCTGATAAGCCCGCATGCATTATCCGCGACAGATGCGGGAACAGCTCTCTACAGAATACGCGAGATACGCATTGAGGATCAGGATCTCAAGCAGAATTGGCTGGACATGGGCATGAGCTTCGAGGCGGAACAGATGCACGCCCAGAGCGTTATGGAACGCTTCACACGCATGATCTATGCGGGAACCACAAATGTGGACCTGCTACTATCGGATGCACAGGTGCAAAAGTTAATAACTAGCGGAGAGAAATTTGATTTACTTATTGTGGATTTGTTTCTAAGTGACGCATTACTTGGGTAAGCAAAGAGAGGAGAGTGATGATATGTGACAGAGTCTAAAGTTGTTTGTCTCTTTTAGCTTTGCCTATTACTATGGTGTGCCCACCGTTGCAATCAGTCCCACCGGTGCCAACTCATGGCTCAATAACATGTTTGGCAATCCTCAATCCGCCGCTCTTGATCCGAGTAACTTTTTACCCTACACGGAGCGCATGAACACAAAGCAACGCATTACGAATATGCTAATGAGCACCTTTGAGCGTCTGACCTACAAGTGAGTGTACTAGAGAATTTCAACTATATATATATATATATATTGTTGGACTCTGATTTGTTCTGTGTTTGCAGCTTTTTCCACCTGATCTCCCAGCAATCTGTTTACTCAAATCACTTTGAGCTGCTGGTCCGTGAGCTACCCAACTATCGAGACTTGAGCAAGAACTTGAGCCTTGCCTTGATCAACTCGCATCCTGCTATGGATTATCCTCGTGCCTATTTGCCCAATATGCTGGAAGTGGGCGGACTACATTTGCTGGAGCCACAAGAGCTGCAAGTGCCAAATGTAATTGAAATTGCGCCACTTCTGACTGATAAACTAATTAGTTTTTAATCTTTATTTAGCATGTGCTTTCGTTTATGGAGGCTGCGTCGAGTGGGGTCATCTACATGAGTCTTGGCGCCGAAGTCCAAACGGCTCAGTTGCCCAGCGAAAAGCTGGCCATATTGCTGGATGTCTTTGCGCATCTCAAGGAATTTCATTTTCTGCTCAAATGGGAAACGGAGGAGTTCATACAACCGCTGCCCGATAACATAATGATCAACAGCTGGTGGCCCCAGCAGGCCATTCTGGGTATGTTTTCGCTGAATATAGCCTTCAATAATACTCAAACCTATTTGCCTTTCAGCTCACGAGCAGGTCAAGCTGTTCATTAGCAGCTGCGGCCAGCTGAGCGTTTGGGAGTCCATAGCGGGTGATACGCCAATACTTGCCATACCCATACTGGCCGAGCAGGAGGTGCTGGCCAAGCGGCTGCAGCAGAAGGGTGCCGCGCTAACAGTCGCCTATGATGCACTGGCCTATGATGCACTGCTTCACAGCATACGGCAGCTGACGCTGAATGAAAGTTATGCACAGCATTTGGGTCAGCTGAAGAAGCGTCTGAGTGTTGTCAATTCGGAGGCTTCGGCGAGAGCGCTGAGCCACATTGAACTGATATTGAGCACAGGTGGTGCTGATTTCCTAAAGTCCCATGCCAATTCGCTCAACTTTTGGCGCTCCGAGGGCTTGGACGTGCTGGTGATAATAGCGCTGGGCATTTTTGGAATTTTGACTGTGCCATTTGTGGTCACGTGCTGCATTCTGCGTCGATCGTACTACAGTCAAGCTGCACAGGATCAGCAGCAGCAACCGTATCGCACCATGCTCAAGAGCGTGGGTCGCGTGCACAGCCATGGGGATCCGAGCAGCTGTAGGAGCGCTCGCTCAACGGAGCCGTTGAGGAGAACACGTTCGGCACAATCGCTGTCCGCTCGCTCAAGCTGCTCCAGCTTCAGTTCGACAACACCGACTACGCCGTCTAGCAATTCAACAACCCCGCTGGATCTGACACCGCCGCCACCGACTGGTGCAACGCCCGCTATGGATCTGTATGTCAATCAGGGTGTTTATAGCGCACAGAAAGCATCAGCGCACGACGAGAAGATGGAGCACGCGTTCTTATAGCCACATCGATAGCAATTGGCATGACATAACGATATATCTCTAGATTTCAAACCTTACCCACTATACAAACACATGCTTATATATAGGCAAGATATGTAGTTAGTCGTATCTAATATCCCTTATATATCTGCATCAATGTAGCATCTGTGTTGGGTTGTGCACCCGGAAAATGTTTATGTGTCTTTGTGTTATTTTATATAAATATATTTACTTATTCTAACTAGCTTAGCGAGTCGCCGTGATACGAGCTCACAAATGATATTGTGTTAAGTGTAATGTCCGATGTGAAATGGCAACCAAGACACTGCGAAGGTTGTTATATTTTACATTTTATATTTGTTTATTGGTAAATTCGTTTAACGAAATCGAGTGTAGGGAATTTTATTAAATATGGCAAATTGTATTTAGTTCGTCTGATTTGTATAGTTTTTAATCTCAATGTTTAATATTTAAGCAGGCTTCAAGAAATATTATATGTATATTTGCAATTGAAATTTATGCACGAGTTTTATTTGAATGAATGATTTATTGATTGATTCAGTAGGAGCTGGGAAACTGACATATGGCGCAATGCCGCTAAACTGCCGTGATTCGATATTATTTAAACATTCGATATTTATTGCAAGTTTAAACAAATTTTTTTTAAATTTAACATATATTTTTGGCGTTATATTTTTCTGTTTTATTTATTTTTTATTTGATATTTTTGGTTTATATTTTACTTAAAGCACTTCAAGCCTAAACCATTTTATTTTATCAATATAACATAAATATGTATTTGTGCTTTAACTTTGATTTATATTTATTTTTTATTATTATTTTATATTATACTTTCCTTTTTGAATATTTTTTTGTTCATATTTTAATTAAAAAAAGCCCAACCAATTTTTTTCAACATAAATTCGGGTGTCCTAATTTTTATTTATATCATTTTATATATATATATTTTTTTAACATTTTATATATTTATTTTGTATTTATTTTTTTCTTTTTATTGTTTTTAAAATATTTTTTTCTTGTTATTATTGTTTAAATATTTTTATTTTTATACCCTGAACCCATTGAAAATGGGAAATCAGGGTATAATGGTTTTGTGAAAAAGTATGTAACGGGCAGAAGGAGGCGTGGCAGACCCCATAAAGTATATATATTCTTGATCAGCGCGACGAGCTGAGTTGATATAGCCCTGTCCGTCTGTCCGTCCGTCCGTCCGTCCGTCCGTCCGTCCGTCCGTCCGTATGAGTGCGTCGATCTCAGAAGTTATAAGAGCTAGAGAGCTGAAATTTGGCATGCATACTCGTGTGTACCATACGCAGTACGAGTTTGCTTTATTTTTTCGATAATTCATCCGATAACTTTTTTATCGAGAACAATCGAAAAATCGGAATTGTTTTTTCAGCCTAATTTGAACATTTTTAGACCTGGAGTCTTCAAATTTGCGTTGTATATAAAGTTAATTGATACAAAGATTTTGTAATTTACAGATTTTTGATACCTCGCCCCCTTTCCCCCCAATTTGTAAAAAACGCATTTCAAGTACTAGAGACTTGTGCTTTGGAATGTACACACATATTTATCATATGATTGCACTCTGAAAGTTTCATTAAATTCTTATGTTTACAAAAGAAATTATTCAACAAATAAATTCTCATAATATTGCCCACACTGCAGCGCAGCCCAAGCGCAGTCGCTGCTTACTGCGCAGTTAGCAGAGCGCAGGCTTATGCGTGCGTGTTGATGCATGTGTATGTATGTGTGCATAAAAATGCAGAATGATTAGAATATCAGCTTGGAGGGTTCAGGGTATCTCCTAGTCGAGCAGTCTCGACTAGAGCCTTCTTACTTGTTTTATTTTGTAATTATATGTTTTCTTTATTTATTTTAAACCTATGCAGATTTCCTTCACAATTCCTATACAAATTTAAACTCCCATTAACGCTTCAAGTACAGGGTATTAAAATTAATGATCAACTTTAGCTGGTAGCACCTCAATTTAGCGTATAAATCGAACTTCACATTATTTTCGATCGTTTGT